TTATTTATATATATATATATATATATATATATATATATATATTTAATGTTTTGAAAATATAAGATATATTTAATACATATCATATAAGAAAAATATAATGATTATTGAAAAGATATTATTGACAAATTCGTACTATAGTTATATAAAAATGTTATAAAAGAATTATAATTTATTTTATTTTAATAGTCTCTAAATATTAATAAAAAATTATAAATAATAAATATGAATAAACTTATTAAATAAGAAATGACTCTGACAAAAATGTATAATTTGCAATGTGTTTAGAAAAATATGTTAAAAGGTTTTTTAACTATTATTAACATTTTTTTTATAACTATTAATGATAGAATATTGCATGTACATGTTTAAAAAAAATTACGGTTGGGCCAATGAGCTAGTCGTAAGCGGGAATCCAATTCTCGTTTTACAAACTTTGAATTATTTTTTTAAGGGATAATGTTAATATATCATCTATTAAAGCACAAAAAATATATCATATATTATTATTGATGTATACTGCATCACAATAAATAATATTTTTTAAAATATCATTACATGTTTTTCTAATATGTTTGGTTATTGTGCTGGTAACTTTGAAGAATATTGACGAGAGAATGTTATCTTGAAATGGATCCTCATTATATTAAATGTGAATGTTTTCTTGTTGTTAATACGAGGCTGATTGCCTGATTATTGTTTAACTCGAGTTTTGAAGAGCTTAAAATCATCTTGAGTTGGGCTCGTCTTGTAATGACTTAGCTGGAGGCACTAATGTAGATCTTGATCCGACAGTGACAAATCATAAGTGGGCTCTACAATACACTATAGTAAGTTACACAAATGAGAGAGCATATGCTGCTGATTTAACTTAAAATGCGTGATGAATTTAACTAGTTTTGATCCAGGGATGAATGTATCCTCACTCTATACTCAGAATTTTTATTTTTTTAACTTTAGATAACTTCTTATCCACGATGATGTCCGTTAGAGGTTATTATAATTTGGAATCTAATCTCAACTTCTTCTTGGATACGAGATTAAGCTTTCCAAATTGCTTAATTGAAAATAGAATGTCGTAAGAGAATTGAATACAATTGTACATTTCTATGATTTAGGCAATGGGACGTGCGTAAGGAACTTGCATACAAAGACAAGCTAACACAAGTGTACTTTTTCTCAGGTGGCGTTATGCTTATGCATTTGTAAGAGCCATACTACTATATCACGTTACAAACTGGTCAGTACTCGGTACTGACATGATCAAAGGATTACTAAAAAGAAGATTCAATACATGCCCCGACAACTCATGCATTATGCAGGAGTAATAATCACTACGAACCAGAGACGCGATTCTTTTCCTTGCAACAGCAACATGCGATGAATCATGCAGGAACGTCGTCCAAGTTAAGGAACACCTCTGATTCGTAGATTGAGTTCAACATCATGTACACCGAGGTTCACACACATCAATATCATATTATTCCCTTGGAATCTAAACTATCGGTGTACAATGCTCATTTGGGCTGATAAATTAGCCAGACTAATAGCTCAAATACCATTTGTAGAGTATTTGAGTTCACACACAATTTTATATTAATATGATGATATTATTAATTTTAGATCTAAATTTACTTTTTAAATATCATTCAAAAAGTCTACAAGTCATATCAATGAAATTATTTATGTACTTATTATAAACTCACATTCTTCATATTATTCTAATGATGTAACACATTGTTAATAATATTTGGAATATCATAACAAATTATATGTTGATGTTTAAAAATAGTTAAACCAGTCTCGTGTTTAGGTGAAGAATCCTGAAAATGAATGCAAGTTGAATTTTGTTTTAAGGCACTGTGAGAAGATTGGACTTGCAGCTGAAGGTTTCAATAAGTTAGATCATCAGAATTTTTTTTTTTTTTTTTACAAAACTCAAAATCCAAAAATCTTAACTAAAAAGAACATATCCAATTCTATTCCCAACAATTTGTTGGTAATGAACTGTGCATTTGAATAAGTATTTGTAAAATTAAATTTGAATAAAAATATTTTTGATGTAAAATAATTTATATTTAAACATTTTTAATTTAAAAATAAGGTAATAGTAAAACTCAATGTAAAATTATGAATCTAACCCAAAATTAGCTGAAATTGCTTGACTCAATCAACTATGGAACAATAATTAATTCTTCAAACATGCACCAAGTTCTTTACTTCCTTGAATGTGTCCACAAGCAGACAAACAAAATTGACAAATAGTGATCAGTGAGGTACGTATTTACAAGCCATGCTCTCCTCAGTTCCCAAGATAATGCAATACAACAAAATGGTGTCGAAACCTGAAGGAACTACACCGTATAAGATATGCACAGTGACTCATAACATAATGAAAATCGCAATACAAATAATTCTATCGCCAAAGTTGCATGACCAATATTACAATCAATCATCTCCATCTCGACTTTTCTACGGTTTCTGCATGCTTTGGTGGATACGATGGAACTTTAATGGAAACATCTGCATGAGAAGGCAAAGGATCTTTGTCTCTAACCGTACGTAGCTCCTATTAATTCAACAAGTTAAATTTAGTTAGTCATTTTAGATGAATAATTGTACTTAACGTGGCTGGAGTATAGTGCTTACAGAACGAAAGGGAAAATCATCTGTCTCAAGCATATGAACAATTTGGCCCATCTTTGGTCGTTTAACTACATCCAAGTCTATACATCGCAGACAAATGAGTAAAACTCGCTTCAAAGATCTTGGAGAGGGAGGAATCTCAATTAAAGGATCAACTAGCTCCTCACTGCGACGACTTGCTACCATTGCCTTGAACCAATCAACCAAATTCATCTGAGGCACATCGACAATAAGAGAGTTAAGACTAAGACACCATGGTGTTCATGGAATGTATTAATGAAAACAAGAACAAAACCAAGAATCACCTCCCCAGGTGGTTTTGAATAATCAATGGGGCTTCTTCCTGTGATTATCTCCATGAGAAGAACTCCAAAGCTATACACATCACTGCGCTCATTAAGCATACCTGAGCTTGCATACTCAGGTGCAACATATCTGCAGAAAAATAGTGGTAAGGTAATTATCATCTATAGAAGTTTAAAAATAACTCTGATCCTCGAGAAAGTGCAAATTACCCGAATGTTCCCATTACACGTGTAGTCACGTGGGTTTTCTCAGATCCTAAGAGCTTCGCAAGTCCAAAATCTGATACTTTGGCGTTCCAGTTTTTATCTAATAGAATGTTACTGGATTTTATATCCCGGTGCACAACTTTGGGTTCTAAGCCTTCATGTAAATAGGCTAGCCTGTTTTATAATGAAGAAACATTAATTGTTGTGAGAGAATGTTTAAGATAACATAAAATGAACAAGCATGGATACGGAGTTATGGAGAATGATAACATTGGTCAGAGAAAGACTTATAGCACAAGAGTATGAATATAAGAAAAATATTAAGCTCAACCTCCATTATTGATTCTGTGCATTGAAAGTAGTATGCTTATTATATTTCATATCTCTGATGTAAAAAATACTATTTTTCCAATAAAGTTCATCATTTTAAATATATACTTGAAATCAATCCTAAACTGGTGTTAAGAAAATCATATAGTACATTTAAGGAAATTGATGTGATCCATTTGCAGAGGCAGGAAATCAACATAAGCAACCTACTAAAAAAGGAGAGATGAAATTCAATGAACATTAAACACACCCTTTTGCGGTCCCAATAGCAATTCTCATTCGAATATCCCATGTCAAGGGGCTAATTGGTCCTACGTCACCATGCAGCCACTGCTCCAAGTTTCCATTGTCAACATACTCATAAACAAGCATCCTGAATGACATAAATGTGTTATTAAAATAATAAAAAAAATACAGGAATTCTGAACTTTTATCGTCTGAAAGACATTAAATAAAAGAATAATTGCCATATAAACAGAACGATACCTTCGTGCACCTTCTGCACAATATCCTACCAAACGAACTAAATTCTTATGCCTTACTTTTCCAATGGCTTCAACCTCCACCTTAAACTCCTTCTCAGCTTGACCCCTAGTTATGACAGTGATACAATAATGCACAAGAATTTTCATTAAGATGGTACTGCAACAGTAAGGATTTAGACTAAAATAACATAACTAAAGACACTGCATTGCATTGTTTCAGGAAACTTGACAGTTGACATCTTTTTTAAAACTAAAGTTGCAATCCTAAAGCAACCCTTTCGCATATTGTTTTTCCACTTGTTCTTAATTTAATGTGGAAACCTCAAAAATTAGGGTAGGGACAACTTCAATTATTAATTAACAATGGTAAGAAAATGTTGCATGAAGGGAGTAACATGAAGTTACCGTTATTTATTACAGTAATAGTTCTCTTCTTTGAATTTGCATACGAGTTACAAACCCCGAAACACATACAAAGCGATTGGATTATGTAACTTGTATGGAAACAAAGTAATCATTCCCCCTGTTTAAATTAAAGTTTTTCGGGATTAAGCTAGTACCTTAAATAAAGAAAAAGTCAACAAAGTAATTAGTATATACGAACGAGGAACAACATAATAAATAAAGCAAAAGGTAAAAGCAAATAGAAAAGCAACATTCTAACATTATTACCCAGCCTAAAACAAAATAAAAACAAAAACAGGGGAGAAGAGAAGCAAATGACCATTATTATAGGTTTAGAACGCTTAAATTATGAAGAATCTTTATCTTTTAACTCTTTCAAACAACGTTAAAAAAGAAAAAAATTGTTTCTCAAAAGTAAAATAATCCGCCACCAAACTCGCGTTCACTCTTCTCAAGACAATTAAAAACAACTCAATACACAATTACACACTTCCCGGGTTAATTCATTTACACAAAGTGCAGTTTCTCAAAACTTTGACCCCGTACATACAAATATTTAAAATATATATAAAGGGTTGCCCAAAATTGTTCCAGGAATCGTAGAGAGTGAAAAACTCAGGAAAGACTAGTGAAGAGTAATAAGATATGAAACATAAAGAAGATTTTTTAACGAGTCAAATTCAGATAAAAAAAAGTTAGGACTTAGGACATGTGACATACTTGTTGTTGAGAAGATTCTTGACAGCCACGAGGGAACCATCATGTAGAAGTCCTCTGTACACAACCCCATACCCTCCTTCTCCAATAACATTCCCTTCGGAAAACCCACGCGTGGCGAGTTCCACTTCCCTTATGGTGTACCAGCGGCCCCAGCCAATATCGGGATCCTCCACCGACATCTCGGCGCGGTGGGCCCCACCAATTTGGAGCTTGATCTCCGCCTCCTTTTTGGGATGAGCCTCCACGTCATCCGCCACCTCGCTGGGCGTGAGATCCAACGCCTTAACCACCGTGATCTCCTTCGAGACCAGAGGGATGCTGCCGGAGCTGTGTTTCGCGGCCAACTTCCGGCTCTTGCAGCTCCGGCTGCCGCGGAGGCAGAGGAAGAAGACCAGAAGCACCGTCACCACAACGAACACCACTAAAATCGCCACTAACAGAAGAAGCTTCACACTCACGCTTGAAGCTGCCGTCGCCATTGTTGTTGTTTAAGCGTTTAAGAGTGTTTGGGTTTGGTGGGTGGTGAAAGTAGGAAGAGTTATAGGCATTGAAAAGAGCCTGGCGTTGAGAAGAGTGAGTGGGAGTGGAGTTTCAACGGATACAAATGGGAAAAACAAAAACAAACGAAAGTAACAAAAGGAAAGAGGTGTTGGGTTGTTGTCTTCTGTTCTCAGTTTGGGTTATTTACGACAATGCCATTTACTCTCTCTGTTCTGTTGGCTGTTGCATCCCTTGCGCTCACCGCGACATAAAGCGGTGAAAATATCGTCACAGGGAGACTGTTTGTGTTTGACGGTGGGGTATGTTGGGTAATTGGGATGCTTCATTATTACATTATTTTATATATGCTCCATTTCGCAATTAATTACTTCATCTTATTATGACTAACACGCTTTATTATTTTTTCAATTTGGCGTTTTCTACCAACTGCCACTTGTCAACAACTCCCAATGATCTTATCTTATACTATAACAGTAATAGGGGATATATACGGTATAAATTTACATTCACTGTACATGCCATTAAACTCGTAATAGAATTGTACGATCAACTTCGATTTAATGTGCGTGATTTTAGCTTGATATTTAGTTTAAACATCAAAAACATTTGATAAAATTATGATATTTAAATTGTTTATTTATTCGATCAATAATTCTTATGTGTGCTATACGCTTTAGCATAGTCAAACTTTACAAAAGATAGTCACATGTATATGATGCATACTTTGGTTCCTTCTAACAAGTTGTAGTGTTTTATAATATTAAACCTAATTAATTATAGTATTAAGCATAATTAATCATAATCATCACATAATATAAATTGCATTATTAAGAAAATTGATTTTTCATGTAACTATTATCATAAACAAGATATCTTAAGCATGTAATAATAGGTTAGAGGATTTTTGTGGAGTATGTAGTCTATCAACAACAATAAGTTGTAAAAAATAGTAACTTAAAATATAAATTATATATTTTATTTTCAAAGTTAAAGAAATCTGGGCAAATTAGCATTAAACACAATAATATGTAGAATCTTGATATTCATTGCACCATCTAATTCTATTCATTCATTGATTTTCTCCTCATTTTGGGATACTAAAATGTAATGTTGTTCTAGTTTTATGTCCTTCTAATGATACATTCAATATTGACTTGTATACTATGAGATCACACTTGAACTTTTGTTAGAGCACAAGCACACTACTTTCACTTTATGTCTTAACCACATGAATGTGAGGCACTTTACTATTTAAGGATTACTTTGGATTTATGATCGAGATCATGGTACTATTTCTTTTGAGACAGACTATTGAAGAATGATTGTTTATCTCAAATATTTAAGTATTTAGTGTAGTAGTGAACTAATGGATCTAAGTGTTAGGTAGTTTGACAAATTGTAATATTAGTTTTATACCTAAACATACTAACTAAATTATATGTTGATCTTTGTGATTTCAATTACATTCCTTCATGTATTGTTCAACAAATTCTAAATGAAATGCATTGGGTTTATTTCCATTTAAAAAAAAAAGGTTAAAGGATGTTGTGTAAAATTGTTATATTGGAAAAAATGAAATAAAAAACATATTTTTGTGATTGTGTGTAAAATTTATGAAAATTGGAACAAGAAACTTGAAAGGACTATAACTAAGAAATATTTGTCACTTTTTATTAGTTTTTTTAAAATCAAATAAAAATGAAAATATAATTTGTGAGATATATATGAGTGTGTATTAAATTTGTTTTTTTTGGTATTTTAGGTATCAAAAGTTATTATGAAAGTTTGAACAAGTGACTTGAAAGGGCAATAATTAGGAAGTATTTATCACCTTTTATTAGATATTTAAATTAATTAAAAATGAAAATATTAATTCCTGTTACGTACGTAAATATTATTACGAGTGTTTAATAGACTTGCAAGTAGGTGTAAAAAAAAAAAAACCTTGCAAGCTTCTTAGCTAAGTTAATTACATGACATATTGACATAATGGATTTTGCATATATGCTACTTTTGGCGTGAACGAAAGACGGTATTGATGTATAAGTGTGAATAAATTAAATCTATTCAATAATAGACGAGGATATGTATATTGAGTAGTATATAAGAAAAAAAAATTATAATTACGTTATAATTTTGAGTTAAGATATATGTGAATAATGGTTCTAGATGAATTTACTCCTCAATGGTCTATTGTTTATATACACGAAACTATTCCTAAAATATCTCTTAGATTCTAACAGAAAAAATAAATAATCAATCTTTTCTAATTTTCATAACAAAATTTGTTAACAATCTGTTAACAAGAAGTTGTTACGGTATTACCCCCCTCAAGTGGGAGCATGGAGATTGATAATGCCCAACTTGCCTAAGAAGGATTCAAACTGCGGTTTTTCCAAAGCTTTTGTGAAGATATCTGCTAGTTGACCGGTAGTAGAGACATAGGTTGAAAGAATATTGTGGCGAAATACTTCATCACGAACAAAATGACAATCTACTTCTATGTGTTTGGTACGTTCATGAAACACCGGATTTTTAGCAATGTGCAAGGCCGCTTGACTATCACAATGAATGATCATAGGTTTGGTATGAGTGATGCCAAGGTTCGAAAGAATCCCTTTTAACCATTTGAGTTCGCAGGTAGTAGTTGCCATGGACCGATACTCAGCTTCAGCTGACGATCGAGAAACAGTTTGTTGTTTCTTTGTTTTCCAAGAGATAGGGGATTGACCAAGCTGGACCAGCCAACCGGTAACGGAGCGACGTGTAAGAGGGCAGCTAGCCCAGTCGGAGTCGCACCAGCCATGAAGTTGTAGATCACAGTTGCGAGAGAGCAATATGCCTTGACCGGGATTGCCTTTGAGAAACCGAACCACTCGGAGAGCAGCTTCCCAATGCTCAATTCGTGGCTCTTGCATGAACTGAGATAGCGTGTGAACGCTGAACGAAAGCTCCGGGCGTGTAAAACACAGATAAATCAATCGCCCAACCAACCTGCGGTAGCGTTCTGGATTGGCAAGAAGAGCTCCGGTAGCAAGAGACAAATGATGATTTTGCTCTAATGGGGTGCCTGCAGGTTTAGCTCCAAGTAGGCCAGCTTCAGAAATAATATCGAGCGTGTACTTACGTTGACAAAGAAAAATGCCCGTAGGATTGCGAGCAACCTCAATACCTAGAAAGTACTTCAATTTTCCAAGATCTTTCATGTGGAAGCATTCATTGAGGTAAGCTTTAAATCGTTTGATGGCTGAGGAGACATTGCAAGCAATAATTAGATCATCAACATAAATAAGAACAACAAGTTGAACCCCTTCTTGATGCAAAGTGAACAGAGAATGATCAAGACATGATTGCTGAAATCCATAAGATATAAGTGCATGAGACAATTTAGTGAACCAGCAACGCGGAGCTTGCTTTAACCCGTATAACGATTTTCGAAGTTTGCACACCATGTTTGGTGTTGAAACAGAAAAACCAGGAGGCATGCGAATGAACACTTCGTCATGGAGATCACCGTGTAGAAACGCATTGTGTACGTCCATTTGATGAAGTTCCCAGGATTTGGAAGCTGCCACAGCAAGAACAATTTGCACTGTTACCATTTTTACAACGGGAGCAAACGTTTCAGTGTAGTTGATGTCTTTTTCTTGATGATTTCCGAGCACAACTAAACGGCCTTTAAATCGCTCGATGGTGCCATAAGAATTATACTTAATGTGATACACTCACTTGCATCCGAGAGCTTTCTTTAAGTTCCTTTTTCATCAAACATTGTATGGTGCCTGCACCCTGTTTGTGGTATAGGTACCTTGCACCTTTCATTTAATGTTTTGATATCTGAAGATGAAAATTCGTGTTGCCTTTAATTTAGCGACAAGTTTGTAGACCGAATGCTGTTTAAGAATAAAAACAGTTCCTCCACGCTCCACCATTAGACAAAAACTAACATTACAATGCATGTTCCACAAATTCTGATTTTTTTATTATCAGCAACCGTCTCTTACTCAAGATCTTGAAGAAGGGCTTGAGTTTCTGTTTAGGCGTTTGATAAAGACTAGAGTTGCCCTTCTTAACATCCTTAATCACTAGTTAAGGTTATTTAGGGCATCCAAATTTTGTAATGTATATATACAATTTTACATAGTAATTGTAAATGAAAATATCTACTTATGATACATTGAAACTGTTTAATCAAATTTTAGTTTGTACTTGTAGTATCATAATTGAGCAATGATCATTTCGTGACCTAAGTTATTTCATGGCAATACTTTGAGTACATATCATAAAGAAAAAGTCATTAATTATCTAAACTGACTTCAATAATCTCCATGTCTCGAATTGATCTTCCATATATAAAATGGATATCAAAGTAGTCCTATGAAGTTTTTGGACATTAAATTTCAATTGGACCATTAATGTTTAAAACGGATATCAATTTAGCCCCACAATATATATTTTCACATCAATTTAATCCCTGGATTTATGCTTGTTTAATTTTACTGTTCGAAGAACCAAATTGATGTCCAAAATATATGGAAGACTAATTTGATCATATACCAAGTATCTTTGGAGGACCAATTTAAGTATTTAATTTAAAAACCATTTGTATTTGAACAAGACAACTCCATGAGTCGATGATGATGATTCAACAAAATCACACTTTTCTCTTCAGAGCATGTAAAACAGTGAAACTGTGAACATCCTTTTCCTTTCCAATTAATGCTGATATGAAGAATGTTTTGGTAGATTGGCTGGCGGATATTGTAGAGGAATACAAGTTTGTTTCACGTGCTCTTTATTTTTCTGTATCTCACGTTTTTAAACTCGAATTCTTTACGTAGACAGAGGCTCCAATCCTACAACTACTGGACATTTCTTTGATGTTGCTAATTGTTTCACAAGTTCACCCATTTGTACAAACTGCAACCATGTACTCGCAAGGACAAGTCAACAACGGATCCATATATAAATCAGAGAAAAGCAACTTAAAATATATGCTACATGTTTTATGATCTGCAAGTTTATGGGACTTCACCAAAACAGAAAAGCCCTATGGAATAAATAACCTCCATTTAGGAAACAAAATAAAGTTTTAATGTCTTTGTTGCATGCTCACCTGCATTGCATATTTCCCTTCCAAGCAAGTTCCTTTTTCATCAAACATTGTATGGTGCCTGCACCCTGTTTGTGGTATAGGTACCTTGCACCTTTCATTTAATGTTTTGATATCTGAAGATGAAAATTCGTGTTGCCTTTAATTTAGCGACAAGTTTGTAGACCGAATGCTGTTTAAGAATAAAAACAGTTCCTCCACGCTCCACCATTAGACAAAAACTAACATTACAATGCATGTTCCACAAATTCTGATTTTTTTATTATCAGCAACCTGCAAAAGATACCATTTTCAAACAACCATGTGATGCTCAATGATGGGCCTCAAGCCCAAATAGCCAAGAGACCAGCTAGAAAAACACAAGATGGATCAGTAAAAAATTTAGGAGTGAGTTGGGAAACCTAGTGAGTAGGAAGCACTGAGTAAACAATACCATCATAGATCTGAGATTCAAATCAAGATGATATAAATGCTAGCCCATTTTGTGACATCTAGGGACAAAAATATTCTTTTTGTCTCCCTCAATTCATTAGCTATATATGGAGCAGATGCAGGTACTAAAACTGAGACTTCAGAACAAATTGTGAATATCATCTCCAACTTCTATATCCCTCTATTGTCTTGTCCAACAAGAATAAATGGAAACAAGCACAAAGAACTCTCTACACATTCGGTGCAATAGTTTACCCTCATCACCTCACCCGCTTGTATCACAATTCTGATAGAGGAAACAGAAACACAATAATCAACAGTACTAAAGTACGTAGCGAAAATAATTCCCCAACTTGCAAAAACCAATGAGGAGCAACAAAACAAATAAATGGCAGAAAATAATCACAAAGAGACAGATATTTTTAACATGGGAAACACCCTCAAGTGCTCTTCATGCTCTTCCTGGGTCCTTGAATAAATCAAGATGTCATCAATGAACACCACAACAAACTTATCCAAGAACGGCCGGAAGATTTTGTTCATGTAATCCATGAACACAGCTAGGGCATTGGTCACACCAAACGGTTCCATACAATGCGTCGTCTAGCCCCATCAAGAAGGTGTGACATCTTTCTTCTTCCTTGCGTTTTTCAAGCTTTCCCGCGAGGCCACATGTGCACCCTTTACAAGTGCAGGTCAAAGCTGGTTCATGGACAACTAAATCATCCCACAGTGCCTTTAACTTCCCGTAATAGGCTACCATGGACAACCCTCTTTGTTTGCATTGTGCCAGTTCTGATTTCAGCTGATGAATTCGTGGGCCATTCACAACTGAGAATCTTTCTTTTATGTCATCCCACATCTCCTTGGCAGTTTCCAAGTATGACATGGTTGTTCGCAAAGTTGGCTCAATTGTATTCAAAATCCATGACACCAACATTGCTTGAACAGTCCACCAATCTTCCAAGTCTGAAGATCCTTCTTCAGGTTCTACTATGGTTCCGTTAATGAAGCACCATTTTCTTCTTGCTCGCAAAGACCTTTTCATAGCTCTAGCCCATTCATCATAGTTGTCGCCTTTCAGCTGTACTTGGGCGATCACGTTTCCAGGATTGTCACTGGAATTCAAGTTGTAAGGCGAAGGCTTTTTCTTCTGAGCACCTTTATCCATTGTGTCTGCCATGTTTGCTCTGATACCATGTGAATAATGGTTCCAGATGAATTTACTCCTCAATAGTCTATTGTTTATATACACGAAACTATTTCTAAAATATCTCTTAGATTCTAACAGAAAAAATAAATAATCAATCTTTTCTAATTTTCATAACAAACTTTGTTAACAATCTGTTAACAAGAAGTTGTTACGGTATTAATATATGTGTGGTTTGCTTATAAATAGTTATTTTTTTTTATTTAACCCTTATTATTCCCATGTATTAAAAAGTAGACGAAGTTAGAGGTTGAGCTTGGACTGCAAGAGGTAACCTAACTACGTATTCATATTTATTTTCCATGTTTTTTAATATTGGGGACTTTGATTAGCCAATGAAGCAGTTTGTTGGAGCAAAATCACCCCAATTATGAATGGCTCTCGCAAATGGATGGATATACATGTCAAATTGACTAGATCGTGATTCCACGTGAATGCGATTATCAAAGGCAACCTAACTCACCACCAAACTATTTGTTAATGAATGCAATATTATTCTCTTGCTTGACAATTAATTTCACCAACATATATAGCTCCACGTACTACAGAACGGAAATAAACACGGCTTTGGATTTTGCCTCTTTTCTTACAAATAGTATGGGAATATGAGATTAATAAGAATTAATGGAACCAGTTTTAAATATTATAAACACGGGCCCAGGTAGTGACATTTTTATGTATCTGTACATTTTAATTAGGGGGGGTGGGGTAGATACAAATTTAAAGAATAAGTAGAATATATGATTGTATAGTGCAGCCGTGTGGATTGGGCAAGCAATTGCGTGACTGCTAATGGGATGTAATGTGTTAATGGGCAGCTTTAACTTAAGTCAGTGAAATACAGGCAACTAACTGGTGCTAGCTTTCTTGTTAGAAAAAACTCAAATCTTCTATTTTTAATTATTAAAAAAATTATTTACTGTTTATCTATTATCATAAAATATTTACTTTAAAAGAATCATTCGTCAAACCTAATAATATAGAGCGTGTGATGTATTAAAAAAAATTAATCTCACATTAATTAAAAATAAAATAAATAAAGATTTTATAAAAAGGAAATATGATTCATTATTTAATGTTGTTTTTAGAGAAATTGTTCTCATGTCGAACGTATTTTTTCAAAACAAAAATTTTAAATGGCAAGAATCGTATAAGTGAGTGATATATACGAATTCGTCTTTTGAAATAAAATAGAATTATCCCTCGTCTGCTAATTTTTAAGGAAATTGCTTGTTAGTGCACATTGTACTGTACGAATACTAAAATAATGTTGATTACATGTGATGTCCGTTTTCAGTTGATAATCCAATTTCTTTTGTCTTTTAATTTACACTTGAGCTAATTATATTAAAACATGTGTTTTGTGAAAAAAAAATCAAATTATATTAAAACATGTGTTTTGTAAAATAAACAAAAATCATAGCAAAAGCTCGTGTACCATAACGTTGCTGAATTTTTAAATTGTACGTACTTTGTCAGTTTGGTAAGACAATAGTAAATAATTTAGACAAAATTTTGTGGTTCGTACATATAGAAAAAAAAAAATCCCAGCAAAAAATAAGTGAAGTGCGAAAAAATTGTTTATTGAAACACTACTAGTTCACACCCATCTGTGTTGTAGACTTGTGCATTTATGGAACAAATTGGATCAATCTTATCTTTTGACGTCTAATAAATCAATAGAAATTATCATCGTTAATTTCTAATCAATGCGAATCAAGCTGAATGTGATGAACATTCAAACGTGCTCATAATCGGTGCAAACAAAAATTGATTATGTAGAAGCCGATATTGAATTTGCTTACAAAACATAATCACTTAATTTACACTAAAAATCCATCATTAATCATGCCATTCGCCACCTCCTCTGGCCCTAATTGATTATTTTACATTATCACATGTCTTATTATTATAATAATAATAATAATAATTGGGGAGTTACCATAAAAGAAGGGGGAAATTATAATTAATAAGGGTAAAAAAGATATTTTTATAATAATTTGTATTTCTTCTCTTTTTTTATACTAAATAATTTCTTACTTATTTCCTCTCCTTCTACTCCTTTCCTATAGCAAACACAATGTTATATAAAGATAGCATAAAACAAGTAATTATTATTATTAATAAGGAAATATTTTTTAATAAATTATATGCATTATACAAATAGATTATAGATATGTTGAAATATTAATAGTCACGACTGAAATTCTTTTCTCTTTATTTATACTTGTTTTATATGAGTCAGCTGTTGTATATATACTTAAATGTTAAAAACGTACGACTTCTTAAATTATAATGTTGTATTACCTAAAGGGGAAAAACAAGAATATGGAATTGTTGATGAGTAACAAATTCCCATCGAGTATTTAACCGTGACTTTTTTCAACTTTTAACGAGTGTTTTAAAGATATTATTGAAATATATTAAATACATCCTAATAAACATTTTAAACTATTTTAAAAATATATACTAAATATTTTTGTATTTATATATAATAAATAGTTGTTTAATTAATACAAATTTTTGTACTAACCAATATTTTAAGAACACTGCTTGACATTTATCTATTTTCTTATAACTATGTTATTGAAGTTAATCTATCACCTCTTAGTTCAATCAAAATAGCTTTTTTGCATAGTCGCAATTATTACTTATGCTTCTCATGCATTAGTTAACCATGATTATTACTTATATATATTTCATTCTTCAAAAATATGTAGTTAGATCCAACAACCTTATGTAAATGTTTGCCCTTTAAATTTTAATTTCATGAACAATTATATTATCGTTACAACTATATATATGGCAGTTGTAATTGTAAATAATGGCAGTTGTAATTGTAAATAATGACATTTATGACCATCAATATATACATGTGTGGCGGTTCCGTGCAGCGCCATAATTTATGCCGTCACAGAGTAAAAAACGACGATTACAAGCGCACCGTCGCAACACCCATTGTTCTCTCTTTCTCTCTTCTTTCTCTCCCTGACCGCTGTGTAATTTTCTCTCTTTTATTCCTAAGAGATCCCTCTCCACTTGGTTTTTAAGTGAGACAAAATTTGGACTTCTCAATTTTGGACCTTTTCTCCACATAGCATCAATTTAATCCCTGGATTTATGCTTGTTTAATTTTACTGTTCGAAGAACCAAATTGATGTCCAAAATATATGGAAGACTAATTTGATCATATACCAAGTATCTTTGGAGGACCAATTTAAGTATTTAATTTAAAAACCATTTGTATTTGAACAAGACAACTCCATGAGTCGATGATGATGATTCAACAAAATCACACTTTTCTCTTCAGAGCATGTAAAACAGTGAAACTGTGAACATCCTTTTCCTTTCCAATTAATGCTGATATGAAGAATGTTTTGGTAGATTGGCTGGCGGATATTGTAGAGGAATACAAGTTTGTTTCACGTGCTCTTTATTTTTCTGTATCTCACGTTTTTAAACTCGAATTCTTTACGTAGACAGAGGCTCCAATCCTACAACTACTGGACATTTCTTTGATGTTGCTAATTGTTTCACAAGTTCACCCATTTGTACAAACTGCAACCATGTACTCGCAAGGACAAGTCAACAACGGATCCATATATAAATCAGAGAAAAGCAACTTAAAATATATGCTACATGTTTTATGATCTGCAAGTTTATGGGACTTCACCAAAACAGAAAAGCCCTATGGAATAAATAACCTCCATTTAGGAAACAAAATAAAGTTTTAATGTCTTTGTTGCATGCTCACCTGCATTGCATATTTCCCTTCCAAGCAAGTTCCTTTTTCATCAAACATTGTATGGTGCCTGCACCCTGTTTGTGGTATAGGTACCTTGCACCTTTCATTTAATGTTTTGATATCTGAAGATGAAAATTCGTGTTGCCTTTAATTTAGCGACAAGTTTGTAGACCGAATGCTGTTTAAGAATAAAAACAGTTCCTCCACGCTCCACCATTAGACAAAAACTAACATTACAATGCATGTTCCACAAATTCTGATTTTTTTATTATCAGCAACCTGCAAAAGATACCATTTTCAAACAACCATGTGATGCTCAATGATGGGCCTCAAGCCCAAATAGCCAAGAGACCAGCTAGAAAAACACAAGATGGATCAGTAAAAAATTTAGGAGTGAGTTGGGAAACCTAGTGAGTAGGAAGCACTGAGTAAACAATACCATCATAGATCTGAGATTCAAATCAAGATGATATAAATGCTAGCCCATTTTGTGACATCTAGGGACAAAAATATTCTTTTTGTCTCCCTCAATTCATTAGCTATATATGGAGCAGATGCAGGTACTAAAACTGAGACTTCAGAACAAATTGTGAATATCATCTCCAACTTCTATATCCCTCTATTGTCTTGTCCAACAAGAATAAATGGAAACAAGCACAAAGAACTCTCTACACATTCGGTGCAATAGTTTACCCTCATCACCTCACCCGCTTGTATCACAATTCTGATAGAGGAAACAGAAACACAATAATCAACAGTACTAAAGTACGTAGCGAAAATAATTCCCCAACTTGCAAAAACCAATGAGGAGCAACAAAACAAATAAATGGCAGAAAATAATCACAAAGAGACAGATATTTTTAACATGGGAAAACCCTAGTAAAAACCCACGGGTACAAGCCAGTCAATCAAGCTCTACTATGATCAAATAAGGGTACAAGAGAGTCTAATCAAATGCATAAACAAATGCTTACAACCAGCCAATATATTAAAGCAACAAGGTTTTCCAACCGAAGAATAAAGAAGAAGAAACCTCAAATTAGAGCAATTGTAAGAAATTGATTTCTCCAACCATAGACTTCCAATTCACGATCCCCATGGTCAAAACAAAGATCACCGTGTTAAGAATCTGCTGTCAAATTTTCAGCCCGATCCAACGGTAAACGAAGTGGGGATCGAAATTTTACTGAAACTGCTTTGTGTATGCAAACCAAATATTGTTCTCTCTTTCTCTCTTCTTTCTCTCCCTGACCGCTGTGTAATTTTCTCTCTTTTATTCCTAAGAGATCCCTCTCCACTTGGTTTTTAAGTGAGACAAAATTTGGACTTCTCAATTTTGGACCTTTTCTCCACATAGGAAGGGAACCTAATACCCAACAAATTCCAGGAGCACTTGCAGAGATTGAAGGATTCTGAAGCAACCAGCACTTCTTTGTCATCATCTTCAAAAGCTAAATTGGCTTGCAGGATTTGCATGACTATGCTGATAAGTTGCTCCAGCAATTAGGTTTAGGGGTTTCTTTTTGGAAATGTACGAGAGGAAGGGAAGTGAATGATTTTCAGATTTTTTTAGGTAGAAATTTGAGAGGGAAAAAATTAATTTACTCTAATTTTTTCTATTTTAAAGAGGAAAGAAAAAGAATTTAAGCAGAAAAATAAAAATTTTAATTAGAAGAGGTCATAAACCTCCATAGATTGAGTAAAAAAAAAGTGCACTTTTCAACTCATTTTGACGTTAAACCAAATTCTTAAATTTTTAATAATTTATAAAAAAATTTAAAAACTTCTACAAAATAACTTCCCTTATTTAGCATTTTTTTTAGTGCAATCAGCTATTATTTGCAAGGAATATTAATATCCTTCCAACAAAGTATTAATACTTCTAATTAATTAAGATTCAATTTAATTTATAGTTTTAAGTTTTTAAAATTTCTTAATGAATTTTTTAAATAATTAATAAAATGAATATCTACTTAATAAATAATAAAGACAAAAAATGGGAATTCAAATTTCAAAATTTATTAAGTTAAATATGAGAGAAAATAAAGTTTAGTTTAGAAGCAAATAATAATGACATCTTTAAAAATAGAACAATGTCATATTTTACATACATTTTTGTCATTAAAATATTGGCACTTATAAATGCCATATTTTGAATGAAAATAATGGCAGTTTTATAACTGTCGTATTATAAAGTAAATAGTGACAGTTTCTTGAAACTGCCATATTAAAACTGCCATATTTAATTAATTTTTTTGTAGTATGATTTGGAGCCTTTTAGACAACACTTTATAGGAATACATGATTTAACTTTTGAAGTGAGAACAAGATTCTCCCTTTTGCCCACTATGGCACATGCATCCTCGGGGAGAAAAAATTTCAAACCCGCGATACACGCTGTTTGATTTAAGGATTGTTTGGAAGGTTTAAAATAATGTTATGATTATCGTCAACAATCCATATGCTAAAATATTTTGAAACATGGTACTATATGCAATTGTCCATGTTTAGCTCTGGGTTTTCTCTTGTGCAGTTCTGAAAGAAATTCACCAGACGGAGATATGTTTAAGTTACAACAGTGAACATAAAGACCACAACCAGATATGTGATTTGCAGTTGTTATTAACGTTATTACATTTGAATGTTTTGACTTTTGACACAGACACATGCCAAATGTAATGATTTCCAGCTTCAGTGCATGGTGTTGCTATTGTTTTCCGATTATGGCGCATGTCGCGTACCATGTGCCAAATTGCCAATATTTTGCTGAAAATGATTATCATTTTGACTATTCAAACAATGCAATTACGGTCCACCCAAACACTTGGCCAAATGGATCCAGAAAATTTGAGGAGTATTAGTCCAAAAATTACGGGTCAACAAGATGAGTTTCGTTTTAAAAACTTTAGTTTACGATTGTTTATTTTTTTTAAACTTTTCTTAATAGGAACCTATATATATATAAAAAAAAAAAAAAAAAAAAAAAAAAAAAACTAGTCCAAACTTGTGGATACACTAAAATGAAGGTAAATTATCCTGAGTAAGGTTTTATTGTGCATATGTTTCATATTTTCTTAACAATTAAGTTAGTTTGGGGAGAGAGAAAACAAAACCTTAATGCTTATGGTACTTAGAGGAGAAGAAAGAATTACACTTGAAAGCAAATAGAGATGGAGACTGAAACCTCGTAATCATGCTATCTCCGATCATTTCCTTTTGTGTTTTTCGTCGAGACAATATCTTGCAAAAATCTCAGTTATTAATTAGTTACTGCACAACAATTAGATTGGAGAGAGAATGATATATACAATCGAGATTTCCAAGTTGTAATAACAATAGAAGAATCCTATAATAGTCAATAGAGATAAGAGAGATCCAAACTCTCAATACATATGGTTTATGGTATGAGATGTGGCTATTATAATCGAAATTATAAATATAAAAAAATTAGTAAATTTGTTCATAAAGATTTAAAGATATTCAATTTTGTTTGAATACAAAAACAAATAAATTTTTATATAGCAAATTAATTTTAAAAAGTTATTAAAAAACAATCATAAACTTCAATCACATATTAATATTATTTTTTTCAGATCAAAAAAATAAATTAAGAGTTGCAAAAAAATATAAACTCAAACTAAAGAAAAACATATATTATGTTTTATTGTTAATATAAGTAATATTATTTCATGTATTTATCAAAATATTTTATTTTTTATTGATTTAAATGCTCATTTAATCTATATATATTTTTTATCATCTTTATCTTTTAATTTACTTAGTTGTGTAAACATTATTTTTTTAGTTCCTATAATAAATAGACAATAGAGAATTGAAGAAAAAAATTATAAGTATAAAGACTAAAATTAAATACTTTGATAAAGTTTATGAAACTACAAGAACTAGATGAGTATTTAAACCTTTTATTTTAAGTTACTGTTCCTAACCTTGTCTACCTTCATTTAATTTTTCAGAAAATACTTTTGTTTAGATGTTTAATATATATTTTATAATAGTGGTTTTAATTTTTCAACTGTTTAATATTATGTTGATTTTCTCAAAAAGAAAAAATTATTATGATAAAATAAAGTATAAACCTACAATAACACTTTGTTTTTTTAGTTTCAGAACTTACAAATACGCAATTTGGACTCTAAGAAAAGTCAGCCCAAAGTAAGCCCAATGAAACCTAGTCCATTCGAGTGGACCCTGTCTCTATCAGCACTGAAAAAATAGAAACAAGGTCGTGGATATTTTTTTATAAACTACGCGTCCGTTTTCGTCATCGCAGTGCCTTTTTATTTTTTATTTTAATTTTTTGGTATAACCACCCGGTATCCGAACCATAATGGACCGACTAATCCGGATTCGGGGCGGGTCCAAGGATTACGGTATTTAAGCCCCTCCCAATCGCCGTTGTGGGGGATCAATCCGTAGACCTCCCTACCAAGTACAGCCCCATGCTACCACTGCACCAACCAACGATTGGTTATTTTTTTATTTTAATAAAAGTATCACATTATTTATATTTTCAATAATTATAACAGAAAATGAAAAAAAAAATGAAAAAAATATATTTTTAATGTATCTTATACAAATCTTTAAAATAGATAATATATTAAAAATAAAATGACTATTTATAATTAAAAATTAAAACAAAAATAAAAATACAAGCAAATGGCCTTAAAATTCTGAACTCTCTGACTCCAGCTACAAGGCTGGTTTGTTTTATTAAGCCCAAGCTACGTAGAAATTGACACAAGAAAACTAAAATATCTATAAAACTTATTTGTTTTTCTGGAAAAAAATTGCTCAGAAAATAAGTTATAAGATTAATTATGTTTCTCAAAAAAATTCTGAAAATCTAGTCATACCCTCTGCAAGAGGTGAATTATAAAAAAAAAAAAAAAAAAAAAACTCAAAAGGCTATGAAAAGGTTTTCCCAACAATAAAATTAGCAAAATAGTTAGCCTCATGAACAACACGAGTAACTTTGACTATCTACGGTTGTTGAAACCCATTTTCAAATAAAGCCCAAAATAAGACATCCATGATTTGAAATTGTGAGATATGTTTCTCATAATTCAATATGTATAATTGCAGTTAGAAAAAAAATTCCAAATGGATCCCATAGTTCTAACCTGAGAACATGATAAGTGGACTCAACATGAGAAGACAAGTATCCACTTCTTCCAACCCATATAAAACTTTTGATATGCTAAGAACCCTTTCAACTCCAAATCTTTCTCCAATTAATTTCAACTCCACTTATATTCAAACTATTCAATTATTTATAAACAAATTTGACTGTAAATTGTCCATTTGAATTAAATCTTTAAGAGGGACAATCATCCCCATCCTAAAATAAAGTAGGGAGATAAGTTTATATCTCTTTAAGATGAGAAGACGAAATAAAAAATTAAAATATCCAACATTGTTCTTTTCATCTAAAATTAACTAACAATATTATTTTGTTATATGCATGATATGTGGGATACATTCCCAACATGTTATTACATTCTTTTAATTTTAGGGATTACATATAATTTTTCAATAATAGAAAGAATAATAAATCAAATAGTAAAAAAATAAATTAAAAGAATAATTTAGCATTTAAAAGTTAAAGGCTTGGTTGAAGCAAGATTTAGCTTGACCAGAAAGAAAATACGATAAGGGACATACTTGTAGCATCGTTTTGTAGATTCTAGACGTGGCAGGATGCTATTGTTCCATTTGTTTATTTCTTAATGCTGTGTAAAGAAAAGACATCTTCCGGTGCTGGGTTTTGGATAAGATTTTTTTTCATAAAATATTCCAGTGGGTGCTCCTAGATAGCTCCATTTCATCTTCTTTAATCAATCTTCATTAACTTCAACCTTATCCTTATCCTCCCTCCTTAATTTATTAGAGTTGCATCTCATTGCTCATGACGAATCACTGCTCATAAACAATAAGTTTTTTTTTAAACCCAATTAACATGCCATTACCAATGTAATTTTGATCACATGAAATGTTGTTTAATTAACAACATCAATGTCCAACTCTGAATTTTCATATGCATTAAATAGTAAAACAGAAATAACTTCATATCAATCTTATTCAATTTGAATATAATGCTTTCAGAAAAAGCACCTAATGTCTGTATCAAAAAAAAAAGTAAAATTCTTACTTAATCTTTAGTAAGGCAAGGACAATCAAAGTGTCTTAATATAATAACAACAATTAAGATCAGACAAATAATATAAATTTCAGACTAATTAATTCGAATTAAACTTAATATGTTTATTTAATAAACAAAAATTTATTTTTTTCAGTAATACTTTTAAACTTCCTTTTTCTTTTTTTTTAAATAGTTCCAATTCTTTATTAGTTAAACAAACAGTGAAACAGGATATATACGTACAATTACACACATGATCATGTATAGAACAATCCTATATATGTAATATACTTTTTGATTTGTTTGTCTCTCTTTATAGTATTTATTTTAAATTATATATTCATTCTAGTAATTTCTTTTATTTAAATGACTTAATTACTTTAGATAAGTATTATAAATTAATAAATTATTTAGATGGAAAAAAAATCTAGATTAAAGAAACGCTTATCTGGCTCTTCAACAGCTCCATCCTGATCCGTTCCCTTCCATTTCCCCAAAATACACCAAAAAATTGAAAAAAAAACCTTTCCTCATTTCTCTTCCAATTCAATCCAATGATTTCCAGCGCCGGCGTTCCGAAGAAGCGGCAGCGCACCACCGCCGTCCGCCGTTCCTCCTCCACGGCCGGCACCATCTCCTCCGTCTCCGACGTAACCCTAACCGAACTCTCCCAAAACGTCGACCGCCCCTTCCCCATGGCCGACGACCGTCCCTCTCCCGCGGCGGA